CCCCCCCTTCCTCCCCCTTCCTCCTCCTCACTGGGGTCTGAGCCCCCTGGGACCCCCCTTCCTCCCCCTTCCTCCTCCTCACTGGGGTCTGGGTCCCCCCGGGACCCCCCTTCCTCCTCTTCCTCACGGAGCCAGGATCCCAACCAGGCCCAAATCCGCTGTCCCCAGCCCCGGGGCGGGATCCCCTCTCCCCTGCCTGGACCGAGGTGGGGCCAGGACCGGTTCCCACCACCCACCAGTCCCCCCCCCACCCTCTCCCCCAGTGCAAACTGGAGCTGGTGGTGGGCAGCCCGGCCTCCTGCATGGACCTGGAGCTGTACAGCGCCGAGGACGAGCTGCTGGGACGCCTGGACTGCGACGAGGCCCTGCTGGGCTCCTACCCCGTGGCCGACGGTTGCCGCGTGCACGTGAGTCCCGTCTCCCCCGCTTCTCCCCCCGCCGGTGCTGGTGCAACCCCTTTTTTTGCCCTTTTTCACCCCAAAATGGGTGTCACAGGTGATCGACCGGAGCGGGGCGCGGATCGGGGAGTACGAGGACGTCTCGCAGGTGGAGAAGTACGAGATGGCTGACAGCGACTACGAGAAGCGGCCAGGTGACGCCGGCGTCCCCCCCTTGTCTGTCTGTCCCCGTCCCCCCTTGTCTGTCTGTCCCTCTCTCCACGGTGACACCCTCCCTGTCCCCTCGGTGTCACCGTACCCCATGGTCACACTCTCCCTGTCCCCAGTGTGTCACCGTCCCCCCAGTTGAGGTGACCACCCCCTGTCCCTCACGGTGACACTGTGTCACCGTCCCCTGCGGTGGCACCCTCCCTGTCCCCTCTGAGTCACCATCCCCGTCCCCCCAGTTGAGCCCGTCCCCACTGTGTTACCGTCCCCCATGGTGACACTGTCCCTGTCCCCAGCGTGTCACCGTCCCCCCAGTTGAGGTGACCACCCCCTGTCCCTCACGGTGACACTGTCCCCGTCCCCACTGTGTTACCGTCCCCCATGGTGACACTGTCCCTGTCCCCAGCGTGTCACCGTCCCCCCAGTTGAGGTGACCACCTCCTGTCCCTCACGGTGACACTCTCCCTGTCCTCTCTGTGTCACTGTCCCTCACAGTGATGCCGTCCCCATCCCCTCTGTGTCACTGTCCCCTCTGTGTCCCCGTCCCCACTGTGTCACTGTCCCCCGCAGTGGCACTGTCCCCATTCCCACTGTGATACCATCCCTCATGGTGACACTGTCCCCCACGGTGACACTCTCCCTGTCCCCTCTGTGTCACCATCCCTCACGGTGACACCGTCCCCGTCCCCTCTGTGTCCCTGTCCCCCACGGTGACGCTCTCCCTGTCCCCTCTGTGTCACCATCCCTCA